TATCCCTGCAGGTTTTAAGCTTTTTAATATCTTCACCTCCTCCTCTTTTAAATGTGAGTGTTTGTGGTAACGACAACCTCCTGTTCTCCGCTCCCAGGTGTCTTGATGGCCTGATCACAACACAAGCTGAACCTTATTTGGAAGCCATTTTGGAGGGCTGATGAGCTGATATTTGATGTGCCGGGATGCTGGTGCTACTCCGGCGCAGAGACTGACAGGAAGTAGCTCTGAAAAGAGTAAGAGAAGAAGACGATGAGGAGGGCAGAGGGCAAGACCGACTGCACAACAACTCCTCTGTACAACCAGGACTCTCTTTAACAAGACGAACTCTTCATAACGAGACGGACGCTGCAGATTCAGTCGTCATTAGATGGTTTGAAGGGGTTTTACTGTGCTTTGTTTCCATGCCAACGGTGCCAATGTGCTCATGTGTGTGTGAATGTGTGTGCCTATCAACAAAACATGAATTGGGCCTAACATGAACCAGATCCATCCCCTACGACTAGAAGGAAACCTTCCTCTGGGACTTTGAACGTCAAAATTAACTGAAATGAAGGATGCGTGGACTTACAGCTGATCTCAATCAAACAGCGCCATCTGCAGGATCGTTTAAATCATTGCATGTGACTCTTTAGCGACATCTAGTGGCATCTGTAGGTATAAAATAAGCAGCAAGCAGATCCATTTTGTCTTTTAGGATCAGAGTCAAGATCACTGAAAGTGAGTCCAAGACGAGTTGGTGTTTCTGAGGTCAATTTAAGACAAACATCAGCAAAAATAGAGCTGAACTTAGTCGTAGAGGTGAGATTACCAACAATGAAATCACCCAGGAAGTCAAACCACACCTTAAAATCCCCAAACCAAAACAGCGCTGCCCTCCAGGGCAGCTCGTTTCACCCGCTCTTTTCCTACTTTTAAAGGCAGAAGTTCTAGGCGCTGTGCAGGAGACATCACATCTTTGCTGTTTCACAGACAATGTGGTTTGGATCGCTCAGACTCGGTGTCTCTGGATATTTGTCATTAGTGAGGGAAGCGTGGAGCAGGAGAGATTGACTCCCAGGTTCTGTTGTGATGATGAGAGAGAGCTGAGCGTCGAGGCGAAGCTGTCAGTCAGTCTACGCTCCTGCGCTCACCGATGGCCCCGAGCGGAGTGTGGTGACCGAAAGAGATGAGGGGGTGAGGACCTCAGAGTAGACTCACCCCAAAAAGAGGCAGTTGAGGTGGTTGAGCATCTGACCAGGATGCCTAATGGGCGTTTCCAAGATGCATGTTTGGAAACACCTCAGTGTCAGAAGAGCCGGAGCTAGCCGGGAAGAGTGAGCGCAACCAAAAGATTAAGACAAATCCAACCGAAGTGCAGGTTTTCCTGTTTCAAACTCTGCCTTTAGGTTTGTTTCCCACCAGTTACGCATCTCTTTGTCTTTCCTGTGTGAAATGGACGCGACACAACGCTTCTGAGACATCGGCGATGTTTGCTGCATCGAATGAGTGACTGGACCGACGTGTGTACAGTGTTTACAGCTGCTTATCACTGCAACATCATTGTAAAGGATTATGATATGATGATGATAATGTACAGAAATCACATTATATTTTAAATTCAACAATAAAACAGTCACACTTTACTACTTTGTTCAGGTTTTTTTATTGAGTCAGATTCTGGATTATAAATACATTAAGAGTCAATAAATATCTACTGAAGAGCACAAAATACTTAAATAAAACAAAATTAAATTAAACCATAAATAACAGAAAGAATATGAAATAAATCTCTGCTTTTAAATCTCAGCTACAGTGTGCGTTCGGTTGTGTAGTTTCTCCCATTTTCTATTTCTGGAGTAAATGTGAGCTGTTAAATATTATTATTAATAATAATAATAATAATAATCGCTGGAAATATAAAACAAAAAGATGGCAGGTTTAACGCTAAGCAGCATTTCACTAAGTCACTGAGATGAAACAGCAAACTGAAGTCAGTCTGTTGGTCATCATTCATTTAAATAAACGTACTCTGACAGATATAAT